CGGGGAAGGGGACGGTAACTCCTTGGGGTGTCGGGCGTCTCAGCTCCGGGCAATGGGGAAACCCCTGAGCCTGAGGGGTGATGGAGATGGGTGAACCCCCACCCAGCACCCCCAAAGAGCAGTGCCCCCAAGCAGCCGCTGGCGTGGGGCACCCTGAGACAGAGGCACCCAGCATCAGATGCAGTGACTGATGGGAAGAGAAATCAGCAGAGCAAAGGCTTTCTGAGCAAGCAGCCGCAGTGCTGATCACGCATCAGAGCATCTCACTGGGAGGCTTAAAAATGCACAACCCCCCCTTTTTCTAGCTTGGGGTGGTTCGGCAAGGACAGCCATGCCGTGCCCACGCTCACTCTGGCTCCTGCTCTTTGGCAGGTACCTGGCCATCAGGGCACATCTTGCACATCCTCCAGCAGCCAAAGGTTGTGGGGTTTCTGCCCCTTGGGGCTTTAACTCCTTGCAAACCATGCGATGCCAGACAAAAGCTGGTGCCCAGTGACCGCAGTGGCAGGAGGTTTTGTTTGTGTCCTGGCTCATCTGAGGCACCCGAGGGGTTTGTGTGCTGACGGTGGCCCCGCAATCGCCTCCCCGTGTCCCCTTCCCTAGGGATATGGCCAGGCAGGCAGCAAGCTGCTGGCTCGAACTGGGGTTGGGCCATAAATCCCAGAGTGCTGAGGCAACCTCCAGTGTTGGGGAGACCTCAGACCCCTGACCTTGACCTACCTGTTGTCTCAGCCTTTTCCCTTCACGCTTTTAGCAGAAATCTCAGGCTGGGGGGAGATCTCAGAGACAGAGGCTGGGGGCCTGGGCGTGCTGGCCCTGCATGGGCATCCTTCCCAAAATGGTCCCTCGCTGTGGCAGCCTGCTCAGCTGCTCCTTCTCCCAGGGCATGCTTTTTAGCAACTTCATCTCTAATGTATGGGATTATCCTGGAAAATGAAAGACAAAGCCGCAAACCAGGCTCTTTCCTTCCCTCGGGACTGATTTGCTGGAACATCCCGGATTGCTCCAAGCTGCAACGGGCTTCCCAGGGCGATTCCCAGTGCTGGGGTTTGGTTCCCAGTACCGAAGGCCAGCAGCATGCTGCCTGCCCCCCCAGATGTGGGGCTGGGAGCAGAGGGAGCAATTCCTGACAGCAAACTACCTCAGCCAAAAGCCCCTCTGGGGGGGGCCTGTAACCACTCTCCCCTTTGCTCCCCAGGTGGCAGGCAGCAGACCCGCGCACCCAGGCGCTCTTTCTCCTGCCATCCACCCTCCCATCCCCAAAACGGAGGAACCTGCTGACCCTACCATGTCATCAGACCCCAGCGCCCCGCCGGCGGTGCCGCCTCTGCACTCCCCCAAGTCGCCGGTGTGGCCCACCTTCCCCTTCCAGCGGGAAGGCAGCCGCATCTGGGAGCGGGGCAACCTCCTGCTGCGGGACCTGCCCAGCCCCCTCCCCACCAAGAGGACCAGGACCTACTCGGCGTAAGTACCCAGCATGTGGTGAGTGGGCTTGGCACTGTTCGGCTGAGCCATGCAGGGACCGCGTCACCTGCAGCACCTGCAGAACCTGGTGCAAGATGCTTATCTCTGGATGTCCCGCCTGTCTGGGAAGATGCACACTGGGGGACACTGTTTTAGTAGTGAACCTCTCCCCGTGCTGCCCCCCGGGTGAGTGCTGCCAGTGAGGCATCTCCATCCTTTTCCTCCCACAGGACAGCGCGTGCTTCTGCCGGCCCCATCTTCAAGGGTGTCTGCAAGCAGTTCTCGCGCTCCCAGGGTCATGGGTTCATCACCCCCGAGAACGGCACAGAGGACATTTTTGTCCACGTGTCTGAGTAAGTCCGGGGGTCGCGCGGTGCTGGGATGCCCTGTGGTGCTGTACCCATCAGCATGGAGCTGGAGACCCATGGGTGGGGGGTGGGGATGTTTCCATGAGGCGGGGATGGGGCTCTGCCTGTCTTCTACC